AGCCTTTATAAGCAGAACGCATAATAGGCATGAGTTGTTTTAGGAGATAACTGAAAGAGGAATACTTATTCTAGAAGATCGAAAGGTTTAGAAGCAAAGTTGTTATTTGGGCACAAACCAATAAGAGCAAGATATTAGTGTGATTGCATCATGCTATGAGTCTTTAATATTTTGTAGTTAAGTACATCATTTGAAGAAACAGGAGAAGTAATGCTTCCTAGCTACTTCAAAAGACGTAGTTCAGTAGTAACGGAGTCAGGATGAAAATTGAGAAGAAAAGAGAAAAAGAAAAGAAAGAAAGGGAAGAGGTCCTCCTGAGAAGTTTGGCCTAAATCCAGGTCAGAAGTACGGTACAATGAACAGGTTGGTCAGAGCAAAAAAGTACTGTAGAGCGCGTTTGTATTATATTTACAAATTGATTTATTTATTTTCTTGAAAAAAAACTTTGATTTCTCTTCCTTGTGATGTACAACGGTGCAACTTTTGGGGCCGAGCGATTGAAGAGACCCCAATACGAAGTTTTAGATAAGCTACAGTGTTGTTTTGGGAGCTCTTGTAATGTCAATTGTATGATAGGAATGTAAACGGTAGGAAGGTATGAGTTAGAAGTTTTAAAATTGAAGTGCATCTGAGTCAAAGAGTGGTAATGGTTTGAGATTTTGAGACGATTGAGAAGCTACCGCGTCTCAGTCCGAGCAGCCACCAACCGTCTCCTATAGGCTCTCCATCTCATTAGCTGGGATTACTCCGAGACTGCTGACAGTATTACGATATTTGCCTCATCTCACATAACTCCTATATGTCTGGATATGTTGAGATTAACAAATATTAGTAATTATTCTGTCCTCACAAGATCAGCCGCTTCAAGGCGCTACGCTTACTAATAGCAGCAGTGCTCTCGCCGATCGCAAGGATAGTTAGGATGTCGTTTCGTTGAAGTCCTGTCTGGGCAGATGTGAGCTGATCACCTTTTTTTGCTCCTGAGCGGTCGAGAATCGGCAACGGTTTTTATGA